AAGGAGGGATAGTAGGCGAAAACTTCTGGATACATCCGATAATAGCCAACCGTGAGGAGAGAGGGCAATTTTGGGCTATGTTTCAGACACTACGTGGACATGAGGATAAGTTCTTCAACTACACCCGCATGTCGATAAAGAGGTTAGTACATAAACAATTGTTCAGTGCTTATTGTTGTTCTGTCCCATTCCTTGTAATGGAATACATGTATATGTTGTTCATGTATTCATATTGCTAATTACTAGTATTGACCACAAACCTTTATATACATTTTCAGTTTTGATGAGTTACTGGGATTGCTGTCTGACAAGTTGGAGCGTCAGGACACCTTCATGCGGGACAGCATTCCACCTCCGGAACGATTGGTGATCACTTTGCGGTAAGTTATGTACATGACTCCTTTGTATAATTATAAACGAATTAATGTTGGCGTATAGAAGCAATTTGGGAAGGTTTCCCAGTCCGACCACGAAGCCTCCGCTATCTCCACCCAGGCACGTTGCCTTATGCAACGGTTTTTGTAATGCGCATGGCGCATGTCATATATACATGGCCTTCCCTGCACCTGTCTAATAAAGGCCTCAGAATCCAGCATGGCACAATCCTCCATCTTTTCTTCTCCAACAGCTCTCTGGGGGAGTGGTCTTCTGTAGACATGTGTGGAACGCGTGTTCTATGCGCGATTTCAGTGATTTCGTCCGTTCCCGTCGAAGTCTATGGGCACTAACGCGCTACAAAACGGACCAATACGCAGCAAAAAACGCTTCGGGACCTTTTCATGCGTGGGCCGTTTTGTAGTGCGTTCGGGACGGGCGGAAATACGGACAGGTGGGAACTATAACATTGACTTCAATGCTATTTACTTTTTGGTCCGTTTTGTAGTGCGTTCATCGAGCGTAGGACGCACTACAAAACGGTCAGGTGTGAATGGGGACTTATCTGCAGATTTTCTGTGGTCAGATGGAAAAGGTGCAACAGATTCCTCCATCTACACTTAACTGTGTGGATGGAGTAATCTCCACATGGGCCAATCTGTTGAACTTTTTCCATCTGACCACAGAAATTCTGCAGATAAATTGTAAGGTGTATGGGCACCTTTCATTGCCTCCGATTCCAGATTTGAGTCTGGTCATTCTAACATTTAAGCTGTATATATAAAATTTCAAATTTAAGCCCCTGGGCACGTATAAAAACTTGTTTCCTTACAAACAGGCAACCTTAAAGGAGAACTATGGGGTTAAGGTTTTTCCCCATAGTTCTCCTTAGGGTAACGGGAGGACACAAACTAGCGTCGTCCCATCACCCTACGCTCAGTATACTGAGAAGCCGCAGCTGAAGCGGATCCTGACAATTATGTCTGGATCCGCCCAGCTGCGTGAGTGACAGCTGGCTCTGCCTATCTAGAGGCAGAGCCAGCTGTACCCGCCCCCTCCCCCCGTCCGTTACCACCGG